ATTAATAGGAATGTGTTAATAATTAAGAGAGAGCTAGTCAATAAGAAGCCCGAGCCATTGGCCAAACAGTTTATAATTAATATAAGCCTCTGTGTGTTTATTTGGGACTAAAGTGGCTGCGGGATCAGATGGGATAGAAACTTCCGTCTACATGATATAGATTGGTGCTCCCAGAAGGAGATATGTCTCACTGTCATAAAAAGCCCTGTGTTATTAAACATCTTACATGGCATATTCTATAGGCCCTTGAAGTGTTTGAAGACTATCTATCCATCTAAATACATCTATTTAACTTTGAAAACATACCTAATATGACTACAAGTTTGATTGTTATAGATAATTAACTACTAACCTGCATTTCTTAACTATATGTTAAGAAATGCATAAGCACAATACCCCAAACAAGAGTAGAAGCATAATTCAGTATAATAAAAATAACTTTAAATTCGTATCAAGATAACAAAATCCGTACCAATGTAAAATATTTGAAACTAGTGATTTTTCTAAAGTAGACTCAACAATCCACCCTTTTATCTCATCATTTTTATACTATATCCCCCTGTTTCTCTTCAGAAAGAGATCCCTGAATCTAATCTCCTCTGTTCAGTTTTCTTTGATCATGGCCTATAACAATTTGTTATCAAGTCCCCCTAAATAATGACAAAGATCCGCCTGCCCCATCTCTTGGGAATGTGGGCATTGTGTTCTCTAAACTGCTTCCTGATGTCTGGGGGTGCTGGTATATTTGGGGGACCCTGAGAAAATTAGGATAATGGTCAAGAGTAGTCTGTGAGGCTGGACCACCTCAGACAGCAGCCTTGAAGTTGTCCTGGATGCATAACTCTGAGGGAACTGTAACAGAGACTCTGAGAGGCTGGATCACCCAGGCCACCTATTTCCATTGATGTCTTGTCCCCTCATCTGAAAACATAAACTTTCAAAGGTAACATTCATATTGGCATTAATACAGGTATAGACTGTGCACTGTATACAAGTCAGCCAAAGATGATTTTTTTTTGTTTTATTTTTGAGCAGGTAAAATATATGCCACCTGTCTTGCAGTTTTTCTAAGTTTACTTCTTTATGTTTGTAGTCAGGATTTCCAGGGGTCTCCCCCAATTAAACCGGATCATCTTTAGCTTTGAATGAATCCACGGCCTTTCATTTTTCTGTGGTAACAAAAAGCACAATCTCTTCTCCAAAGCAATACATCTATTGATTTTCATTTTAAATTTAAGGCATTCTTAAAGTTTCTGGGCTGGTTTAATTCAGCAGAGCCTTTCACCAGCCCATGTCTTCCATGAGCTGCCATTTCCTTATCGGCAATCAAAAAATTCAAAGACAACGTAGTAACACACAGGCTCCAGACTCCCTGTGTGTTTCCCATCTCTACATGGCATATTCTTTTATTATTATTATTATTACTTTACTCTTTAAAGACTTTATTACTTCAAACTATTATTTTTATTACTGTCTATACCCTTTTTCTTTTTCTTAAGCCTATGCATATTGGTTTTGTTTTTTTTTTTCCACACAGGGTTTCTCTGTGGCTTTGGAGGCTGTCCTGGAACTGGAACTCTAGTTCTAAGTTAATCATTTATTTTTAATTTTTAATTTACACATTTTATATGCACACTAATACATTTTTCTAACATCAGAGCAACTTGTATCTTTATATAAACATATTGGCCATAATGAATGTGCATGTCAGGAGTATACCACCACTTTCTGCTCACAATTGTTTTCTTCTTGTGGTGCTCATGATAATTGGCTTGGAATTATCCTTTCTTGTATTTTTAATATCTCGCTTTTATACTGATGTTATATGATTCTTATAAAGTTATGTGAGACTGTTCTAGTTTGGTTTTATTGCTGCGATAAAACACCCTAACGAAAAGTCACTTGGGGAGGACGAGGACAGGGTTTATTTGGCTTGTACATCCTGATGAGGGTCCCCTCACTGGGGGAGCCAAGGCAGAAGTGAGGCAGGAACCTGGGGACAGGAGCTGAAGCAGAGACCATGGCGGAACACTGCTTACTGGCTCCCCCACTGCCATTCAGGGGCGGCACCGCGCACGGTGGGCTGGGCACTCCCACACCCACCATTAATCAACGAAATGCTCCACAGACGAGTCTTCAATTGAGGCTGCCTCTTCCTAAATGACCCTAGTTTGTGTCAAGCTGATGAACAGTTAACCAGCACAGAGCCTGACTTTCCCTTTAAAAGGGCCCTAGAAGAGGATATGTAAAATTAAAATTAGTTGTTTACGGAAATTTTTTTTGTTTTGTTTTTTGTTTTTCGAGACAGGGTTTCTCTGTATTGTTTTGGAGGCTGTCCTGGAACTTGCTCTGTAGACCAGGCTGGCCTCGAACTCACAGAGATCCGCCTGCCTCTGCCTCCCAAGTGCTGGGATTAAAGGCGTGCGCCACCAACGCCCGGCTGTTTACGGAAATTTTTGATTCTTTATTTTACTTAGAACCTCCGAAGTGAAGTGTAGAGGTAGAAACACAGAGAGGCTGAGGATCCCAAAGCTGAACGATAAACCAAAATGAAAATAATCAGCGTTACCAATTCTGTCTTCCCGTAGCGTTCACAATGTGCAGCTAACGAGAGAGAGAAAAGAAAGTAATTATGAATTGTGAGACTCTGCTCTGCTGCTGTAGATAGGAAAGGCAAAATTAAAAAGAAAACAACAACAAAACCCTCCAGTCCTCCATTGAAAGAGAGGCAATCTCTCTGTGCAGAAGACAAACAAGCTGATTGCCTCTCCTCTCCAGGAGGCATCAGGAGACTGATGCTCTCTGACACTCCTCCGAAGGCCGTGCTGCCATAGACGCGATAGTACCCCAGCCCCCTTCCCTTCTCCCTTCACAAAAGGAGTGTTGATTGAGAGCAAATGCATTCATGCAAAAAAAAAGTATACATAAAAGGGAAGACGAAATTAGAATGTGAGTTTCCTTCCTTCCCAACTCACCCCCCAGCACCATTCTCAGCCAATGAGAAGAGCAGCTCGCTGAGTGGCACATGTGTGCATTCTGACGCTCATAACTCTTCCAATTCAACTGAACTGGCAACGGACGTGCGCATTACGAAGCTCTTCTGTTTTAAATTTATACTTCTCGTGTGACTGTGTGAGACCAAAACTGGAACAATAGACCTTGCAGGTTAAGGGTTCTGTTTTCAGTTAAAGAATGAGTTCCCGCCAGGCGGTGGTGGTGCACACCTTTAATCCCAGCACTTGGGAGGCAGAGACAGGCGGATGTCTGTGAGTTCGAGCCCGGGCTGGACTGACAGCCTCCAAAACAATACAGAGAAACCCTGTCTCGTAAAAATCAAAAAAAAAAAAAAAAAAAAAAAAAAAGAATGAGTTCCCGTTTGTCTTGTGTTAAGTCCTCCAAGTTAAGGTTTCTATTTGTGAAATAAGTTCCTGAGGTTGGAGAGATGGCTCAGAGGTTAAGAGCAGTTTCTGCTCTTTCCAGAGGTCCTGAGTTCAATTCCCAGAAACCACATGGTGACTCACAACCATCTGTAATGAGATCTGGTGCCCTCTTCTGGCCTGCAGGCTGAACACTGTATACATAATAAATAAATCTTAATAAGTTCCCCATTCTTAGACACAATAACGGCTTGCAAACCCCATTCACATGATGTATATTCTTACCCTTGTTCCTACCCTTATGTTTTATCTTTCTAACAGTGTATACCAGTCAATTCACCCCTGTGAACACCTTATCTCTCCTATGAAAGGGACCTCAAAAGGCTGGCAGGGGCTGCTCTCTCAAAATCCAACTTAGAGTGAGACAGCTGACTGGTCAGTCCTTGGTGTACTCCGAAATACAGCTTGCTTTAATTGGACAGTAGTGGATTTGGTGTTTCCCCCTTGCGATCCTCAGCTCTGACAATTGTGGCACCTGTGTTGCCCTGGATGGCATTATACAAAGTTTCACTGGGCATTAGATTAGATCCACTGTTAGTTTACACTGTTTCTATATCTTTCCAGAAAGACAGACAGCATGAGTTTTAGCCTCATGTTACAAATGGGAATGCCTTGAGAGTAGTCATGCTTTCTCAGAACTGATTATTAGTTATTTTATTAAAAACATAATATACCCCTGCTTAAAAGTCTATCTGGATGCCGGGTAGTGGTGGTACACACCTTCAATCCCAGCACTTGGGAGGCAGAGACAGAACTATCTCTGTGAATTCGAGGCCAACCTAGTCTACAAAGCGAGTTCCAGAGCAGCCAGGACTATTAGACACAGAAACCCTATCTCAAAAAACCAAACCAAACCAAAAGAAAAGAAAACAAAACAAAACAAAAAAACCCAGCCCCCCCAAACGCCCCAACCCCCCCCAAAAAAAACCCAAACCAAAACCAAGTTTATCCCTATTGTAGAACGCTGTTACAGGATACCCACTGATAACCAGGACTAGTCTAGGATGGCAGTTAATACTGATTGTGATTGTGACAGGATTCAGAATCACCTGGGGGACAAACCTCCAGGGTTAGCTTCGAGTTTTTCAGGTTAGGTTAATCTCTGGGCATGCCTATGAGAGAGCATCTTGATTAGGCTAAGCAAGTGTGGAGACCCATCCTAAACAAGGTCACTGCGTTCCAGGGGCTTGGATCCTGGTCTGCGTGCAAAGAGGAAGCAGGCTGGGCATAAGCAGTCCTTATCCTCTGCTACCTGAGTTCAGTGTCGCCAGCTGCCTCAAGTTCCTACCACCAGGCCATCCTCCCCATGACGAACCCTAGAACTGTGAACCAAAGCAATCCCTCTCCCCTTAAATTGCTTTAATCTGGGCATTTCATCCCAGCAGCGGGAGAAGGAACTTAGGTAACATAAAAGCAGCCTTTTCTCCGTGTGTGAATGGCGGGGGCTGAACCCAGGGCTTCATACATGCTACCCAGTGTTCTACATCCCCAGTGGTTTTTTTAAGATAATCTTTTTTTAGGTTAGAAACAATCTTGTTTCACATGTCAATTTCTGCTGTTTAGGCCAACCTGATCCCTGGTATTTTGTGATGAAGGCCCTGGAAAACGGGCTGGATGAGGAGGTGAAATTCTCAGTCATCAATGAGAAGCACCCGAAAGATCCTTCAGTTTCCTAAGCCATGAACGAATTGAGGCTTTCAGAAAGGGAGTCTTCACAGAAACCGGAAAACAAAGATCGACATTTAACTATAAATACTCCAAGAGCCACTCTGTGAATAACATTCACTCGCCCGGAAAAATAGCTCCAAATGAAGCAAACACTCAATGGAATTACATTATGCAGAAGCCTGGCAGAGGTGCAGCGTGTTTGCAAGTTAATAAGTTATAAACAGTTCTATATTCTTTTCTGGGCCCTTTTCCAGGAGGAATTATTTAATTTGGGATTCATTTTTGCATTCAAATAGATGTTTAATAAAGTATCTTTTGAAATAGAAAATTCATAGGGAGATTTACTTGAGTTTCTATTTTGTGTTTTTATTGTGTAATTTATTGAAGAGAAATTCTTGTAACATAAATTATCCGGTTTAGGGTGAACAACTCAGTGGCATTAATTAAATCCATAATATTGTGCAGCCAGTACCTCAATATCTAATTACAGACATGTGTATTGGCCCTAAGTAAAATCCTTAACCATGCAGCAGTTTCTGCCCACTGCCGTCTCCCTTTGACAACGGGGACCAACCGATGTATTTCCTATCTCTACAGATTTACCTGAATACTTCATCTAAGTGGGACTGATTTATGAGAAGGACAGGATGTCACTAGGAGGGCATTTCATTGCTATGCTACTGTTGTTTTTTTATTTTTTGTTTGTTTGTATTTGGTTTTACTCTAGGACCTGGTCTATCTAGTCTGTGACTCTTGGTCACCCAAGCAGTGTCAGGGATGGGTTCCATCTTGTGAAATAGACCTGAAGGCAGAGGCAGGCGGATCTCTGGTCTACCGAGTGAGTTCCAGGACAGGCTCCAAAACAATACAGAGAAACCCTGTCTCGGAAAAAAAAAAGTGTGGATGATCCAAAATAGCTGTATTATCACTAATCATCACCACCACTATCATCATCACCATTATCATCACCACCATCACCATCACTACCATTGTCACCATCATTATCATCACCACCATTATCACAATCACCATCATCACCACCACCCTCATCACCATCCCATCATGGATGGTGACCTCTTGGAAGCTGCATGATAGGAGCCCAATTTCCGTCGCCCTGCCATTCTCTGTGTACGCGTGTATCTGTCAAGATCGTTGCAGCTGGAGTGGGCTGAGGGTGAGTGGTCATGCAGGAAGAATAGCTGGACTCCCAGGTGAGAACCCTGTGAACCTCTCCTTATCCACCACTAGGGGGTGCTGGTAAGCTTCACTGTCAATACCATAGACACAGTTACCTCAGCTGTTTTTCTGATTAGTGGCCTTGGTGTAAACACATTATACACACACGGGAGAAGGTCTCACTAGCACTCCTGGATGTCCTACAAATCCCCCCACTCCCCGCTTTACCTCAGTGTCTTTCAAGTACTTGGTATTGCTAATTTTCAAGCTATTGGCTCTGTGACATAATTTACTTCCAGTTTTCCTCCATATCCTTGGTCAGTGGTTTCTTGATTGGGGACAATTTTTCCCCATAGGGACCATTTGAGATTATCTGAATATTTTTTTGTAAGATCGTGTTTGATTTTCGTAGGTAAAACAAATGTATTAGGAACGTACTATGTCATAAACATAGATGATCATAGTTGTGCCTTTTTACAACATCAGAGTTTATTGGATAACAGTAAGCTCACAGGGTATAGTGGTTTCAATGGCAGCACTTTTGTTAGATATACTTTCCTTAATAATAGGGCCAACACAAACAAAATTTTAATTAGTTTTTTTTTTGAGTGACGGAACCTTTCTTGGCTCTTGGTGAGCTTAACTTGGGAAACTGAGGTGCCAGATGGTCACGGACACTAAAAGCACCCCAGACAGTGGCTTCCACACTCGTTGTCTCCTGTCCAAGAAGAATAAGGAAACACAAACACTGAGCAGGGAAACCATAGGTTTTTTTTTTTTTAGGGGTATCGAGAAAAACCTCCTGAGGATGAGAAGGGCACCAGGGAAGGAGCAATGACACACTGCTTGCCCCAGTGGCCCTCCATGGATTTACGGCAGGGACTATAGAGATACTGCAACCAACCAGTGTTGAGGACACATCGGGTTGAACTGGGAAGGAGTCCATATGCCTTATGCAAATTTCCTTGGCCCCACCAGAGAGTTTCTCATTCCCTCAAGTGTGACTGAGTGTGCGCTATGTGACTAGCTCACAGTGTACCATAGTGAGTGTGTGCACTATGTGACTAGCTCACAACATACTGTACACCCTGTGCCACTTCCTCAGGGACGCTGTCACTGCTGTCTCAGTATTAACTCTCAGATGACAGCTTACACATCACACAGCAAATCTGCTTATCTAAAGTATGAAATGCCTGTAAAAAAGTTAAAGTAGCAGGGAGTTTCAAAGAGACTTGAGGAGCTAAAGCTGGGTCTTACAGAACCCAGGACCAGCAGCCCAGGGACAGCACCACTCACCATGGGTTGGGCCCTCCCCTGTTGATCACTAAATGAGAACATATCTTATAGCTAGATTTCAAGGAGGCATTTCCTAACCCGAGGTTCCCTCCTTTCAGGTGACTCCAGCTTGTGTCAAGTTGACATAAAATTAGCCAGGACAACATACATGTCCCAATGGCATGGTTTGGTTATACAAAGTAACTCACATGTTAACTAAGCCTTCTTCCTTATGGTGCAGGACATTCCCCCAAACCTCGGAACCTCATGAGCAGACACCTTGCTTTGTTTGGTGGTACTGAAACTACTTAGTTCAGTCTCCATGCTATGCTACTTGCTGCGGCGTTAGTAAATCGCCTCAAAACATTTTTCTCAAACCTCCTTCCCTAGTTTACTTTGCTTACGTGCTTTCCATTGCTGTGATAACATGGGAAGAGAAGGGTTTACTTATGTGTCCTGATCATAATTCTTCGTGGAGGGACGCAAAAGCAGGGAACTGAAGCAGAGGCTGTGGAGAAGCAGTGTTTACTACCTTGCTCTCTGCGGCTCACCTAGCTTGATGTTTTTATACAACCGTGAGCTGGACCCTCTTACATTAATCATTCATCAGGAAAATATTGCCCACAGGTCAGTTTGATGGAGGCATTTCTCTGTTGAGATTCTCTCTTCCCATTAAGTCTTAACTAGTGTCAAGTGTTAAAAAAACACACACACACACATACACACACACACACACACACACACACACACACAACTTTACCAGAACATCTCCTCTCTATCCACCGTGAACCTGAATGTTATCTTCTCTTGGTATCTTTGACTATTTGCTCACTGTCTAGGATTTCTTTCCCCACTAGTTCTAAGACCATCAGGGCTGCCTCTGGACTCCAACCTCATGCATGGGATTTGAGTGTGCTTCTTGGAGGCTCAAGGTCCTCTAAGCCACTGCTGCTTGCTCCGTGCTTTGTCAACAGAGCTTGTTCCTTGCTTCATCTAACGAAAGCTGGGCATTTGACACAGTCCAGTGAGCGCCCCACATCTTGTGTTGGTGTGAATGAGAATGGCCCTCACAGGCTCCTATATTTGAACGCTTGGTGCCCAGTTGGTGGAGCTGTTTGGGAAGGATTAGGGGGTGTGGCCTTGTTGGAGGAGGCGTGTCACTGAGGGTGAACCCATGCCGTTCCTAATTAACTCCGCCTCCCTCCCCCACCCTGCCTGCCTCTTACTTACTTGTGGGTCAGATGTGAGCTTTCAGATGCTATGCCTGTGATCAGCCCCACTTGTGTGCCTAGGGCCCACATAGGTAAGAGGAGGGAACCAGAGCCCCTGGAACTGGGATTATCAGTGATTGTTGTGGTGATACCTTGCTTGTACAAATAGAGCCTGTTTGAAGGCCAGAGAATGGAGCTTGCCATTAGCTAACTGTAGAAGTCTGGAGGTCTGTACAGTCACACAAGAAGTGAGGTATCTGGGCGGAAGCAAGATATTAGTAGGGAGAAGCAGCAACTTCCTTTTTTGTCTGCTGAGACACTAAGGAGGTAAGGTGTGGTGGTGGCTTGCTCCTCTCTGATCTCTCCGCATTCTTCTCTGTATCTGACTCCAGATTATCTAGATCAACTAAGAACTCGGTTTACAGTTGTGAGCTGCCAAGTGGGTGCTGCAAGCTGGACCAGGGTCCTTTGGAAGAGCAGCCAGTGCTCTGAATCACCGGTCCAGCTGTACGGTACCATATTATCTAATGTCAAAATCAAGTTAAATATGCTTGTTTCCTCAACCACATCATTTCTTTAATAATGTAAAATTTAATTCAATTAAAAAAACAGGCTCAACTATGTGTTGTCTACAAGAAACCCATTTAAAAAAACAGAAAGTAAGAGAATCATGCTTTCTGCCACATTAACACTAAATAAGAAGGAAGTTGGGATAGCTTATATCTAATTTCAGACAAATCCCAATGAAGCTCAAGAGAAATTGTTAGGGATAATGTAGGATATCAAATAAGTACAAGAATGTCAATTCTCCAAGACTTACCAACCTTTGATAGGCGACATATAAATATATAGATCCCTGTAATAGGACATCAAAATATTTGAGGTAAAAACTAATAAATATCAAAGCAAAAATAGACAAATCTACTATTATAGTAGGAGATTTCAACACATTTCCACCAGTAATTAATGAATCCATCAGGCCTACTTGCACAGATATAATTGAACTGAACGGCACTGTGTTTCAACCTAATCTTCCATAAACAATAGCCTCTAGCATTTCAGGAACTATCCGTCCTTTGACAAGGGGCTTGCAGATCAGAGACGTTTTTGTTTCATGGATCTCTTAGGCACAGTAATAAAGACTCACAACACTTCTTCCGAAAAGGCTGCTCCATGTCCAACAATGCCATATCTCCTAATCCTTCTCAAACAGTCTCACTCCCTGATGACTAAGCATCCAAGTGTATGAGCCTACAGGGTATCATTCATATCCAAGCCTCCACATTTCACTCCCTGGTCCCCAAAGGTTTATTGCTGTATCATAATTCGAAATGCATTCAGCATAACCTCAAAGTTCTCCATACTCTTTCATAGTCTCAACACTGTTTCAAGACCAAAGTCCTTCTCTCTTCTGAGCCTAAGGTCCTCTCTCAACTGCAACCCCCTGGAAAAACGAGGAGGCATACTTCCAACATGCAATGGCAGGGAATATACACCACCATTCCAAAAGGGAGGGAGAGGGTCACAGCGAGGAAATACTGGGCCAAAGCAAGAGAACCATGAGGACAGACTCCACATTCTGTATCTCCACGTTTGATGTGAACGACTCCAGATCTCCAACTGCTTCCAGTTTTGTTGACTGCAACGCAATTCTCCCTC